GAGGCTTCTATATCAAAAAATTCATGATTAGAATTTACCTCATCTTCATCGGCCATGAGATAAAGTTTGTCCAACTCTTTAACGTCACTTGCTTCTTTGCTAGAAGCTTGGAGAGCAATACTCTTCTTTTGAGTTTCTTTATTTACTTCACTATAGGAAGAAGTTTAAGTTCTACTAAGAAAATTCAAATGATTAGTAATGTTAGTAGAACTAGAATACATCTCACTAACTAATTCATTTTCATTTATGACGGAAACAATATCTTTTTCAATAAACATAGGCATATATGATTCCTCACCATTAATTGATCCTCCATAGGCTAATTCAAGTGAGTTCCAAATTTCTTTAGCTGTTTTACAAAAGATAATCTTATTGAACTCATTTTTGCTTAATGCATAATAAAGATGGCATATGGCTAAAGTATTACACTGTATAAATCTATGATCATTTTCATCCCATTCCCCTTTCGACTTAGGAAATTTATTTCCTTCAAGAACTTTAGTTCAATATCAATATCAATACTTTTTAAAAATGTCCTCATTCTAATTTTCCAATAGATATAATCATTTCCATCAAAACAAGGAGGTTTATCAATGGGATAACCTTCTAAGAGTGTCATACTACCATTGTTGGCCATGATCGTCCTCTAAGACGGTTAAGTCCTTTAATAGAGTTTAGGCTCTAATACCAATTGTTACCCAAGAATTGACTCTAGAGGGGGGGTGAATAGAGTCAATAACCAATTTTCACAAATTATAGAAGTACAATTTCTAATCAATAGTATAACCAATTATGTAATAAACAAGATATGAAAGTAATCAATTTAGCATAACTGTAAAAGAGATAAGGGAAGAGAAATTGCAAACAATAACACGGCGATTTTTGCGAGGTTCGGAAACTCCTACTCCTCGGCTCAAGATCCCTCTTGAGACTTCCCAAATTCCTTAGAGCTTCTCCTTAATGGTGGAGAGCAAACCTTCAATTGAAGCAAGACCTTGCTTCTCTTTCTTGCTAGGAGAACACCCTTCTCCTAGGCTTCCTTTTGGGTCACACCAACCCTTTACAGTATCCTTGCTAAGAGACCACCTCTCTTAGTTTTACATAGGCCACACCAGCCCTTACAATTTCTTTGCTAAGAGAAACTCTTCCTCCTAGGCTTACAGCAGATTTGTAGATAGAATTTATAGTACAAGAAATCTTCTCAAGAACTGATACAAATCAAACCTCACAATAAAGTATATATGAAATCAAGTGAAGCTCAAACTCTAAGTATGAAATGTATGAGAGATGATGAGGAAAATACAGAACAAAAGCTCTGATGAAATACTAGAACAAAAGTTCAGCAAAGGCTCACTAAATGCTCTCTGAAGTTCACTCTGATTCAACTATGGAAGCTTGTATATGAGACAAAGATCGATGTTTGAATAGAGGCTCTATGAGTGAGTATAAGCAGAACAAAAGCTCTGTATAATGGTAGAGCCAAAAGCTTTCTTTGATGCACTTGAATGAATGTTCTTGAATGCTCTCTCAAGTAGTATATGAGTGAATGAGAGAGATAAGGAGAAGATATAAGAACAAAAGCTCTCTTTGCAATGTGATATGATGTCTCTTAAAATCGTGTGTTCTTTTCAGTCAAGCCCTCTGTATATATAAAGAAATTCATAGCTCAATATAGCTATTAGAAGTGGTTAGAGGAAATAAATGCAGAAAAATTGCCGTTGTAATTCAAAACCCTCAAAGGAGCCGGCTCTTTGCAAAAGTGGAGGCGGCTCAATTTCAAATGGAGGTGGCTCCATTAAAAAAGTGGAGCAGGCTCTTTTTTTGAAATGGAGACGGCTCAATAGAAAAATGGAGCCTTCTCTAGTTTTGTAGAGCCTTCTCTACTTTCCTGAGCCTTCTCTAATTTTGGTAGAGCCCTCTCTAGTTTTTCATTGAGCCTTCTCTACTTTCCTGAGCCGTCTCTAATTTTATAGAGCCTTCTCTAGTCTTTGAGAGAGCTGGCTCTATTTCTTATAGAGGCTGCTCTTGCTTCATGAAGGCTGCTGCTAAATTGGACAGAAAAAAGTGCATGACTTCAAATAGACATAACTCAGTCCATGAAACTCCAAATGAGGTGAAATTTGAGTCTAAATTTATTTTCTTGAAGTCAGCTATCTAAAGCCACCAGCCTTGCTCAAAAATTCCAACCATAGAAAAAGTTATGGCTGTTTAAGTGCAACCTGGTCAGAATTTTCGCAGAGCAGAATCAGGTATTTTGTGAAGCTCATATCTCAGTCATTTTTAATCCAATTTAGGTGAAATTTGAGTCTAAACTCAAGGGATCGAAGTCAGCTTTCCAATGCCACTGGCCTTGTGTAAAAATTCCAACTACACAAATAGTTATAGCAGTTTTAGTGCAAGCTGGTCTGAAATTTTCTAGGCTGAAAATAGCTTCTTTTGAGATATCCATCTTTCTAGCACCTAGGACTTTGATGAATGATTCAATTAAGTTCAAGGCCGTTTCTAAGAGTCTAAGGACATATGAAGATTATAAATTTCAAGTGCATTGTGTCCTAGAGTTATTTACCAAATTTTGGCAACAAAGGCTTTAAAGATGAAAAATTAATTCAATGCCTTTTCCTTTTCTTTTTAGAGACCAAAATAAATATAATGATTAATGTGCATGGTCCTAGAATTTCTAGCTTAAAAAATGAGTTCTTTCAAAGCTTATCAAACTTGAACTAACTCTTTCTTAGCAAAGATTTCATGTGACAATATATATAAATGAAGTTCTTAGTCTATTGCTAATGGTCATAGGAGCATATGAATGATATATGATATGCATGGTCCTATAATTTTGAGTTTGAAAAAATATTCAAATATACTTTGACATTGAATCTTAAGCTCTCACCATCCTATCTACCCTTTTCTTCATTCTTTGACCATGATCGTTTAGGCTTAATGAAGACTTGCTTTCTTTCTTTGAAATGCTTTGTGTGATCTTTGAAGTCCAAGTTTTTCTTTGATTTCTTGCAACTTTGATGCTTCCTTGAATCCATTGCTTGAATGTTTGGAATGCTTTGGAATGCTTGGAATGGATCTTCTAACTCATCATTGAGGATTGAATGTTGATCAATTATATATCACTCAATTAAAACATTAGTACTTAAACATCATTAATGGTTTGTAATCATCAAAATATAAGATTGACCTTTAGATAAAATCCTTAGGCCAACAAAAAGGGATAAAATTCTCTAAGAAAAAATAGCTAAATTTTAACTTCACTCAAACGCTCTTCTGGACTAAAATTGGTAACCATTACAAACACATCTAAAAGTAATTTTCTTAAAATAAAAGTGTTTTTAAGCAGCAGAAAAGCAAAATCGGCTCTTTATTTTTATTTTTATTTTTTGATATATCAATGAAATCTCAATAAACATTCAAATAGATTACAATCATGTAAGGATCCCAATACTAAAAATATAGTGTATAAAAGGAATGCTCCTAGTAGGAATGAAAAGGTAAAACACCAAAAAATATATAGAGGAAACTAGTTAATCATTTTTAAATAAAAAAGCGATCTCATAATTAAGAATAATACAATAACTTTCTCTGTACTTATACCATGAATTTGACACTGTTTTAAAATTTTCCCAATCCATAAAGATTACTTAGTGATAGCTTCATTCTGTGTTCATTGTAGTGGAAAGCATAATGGACTGCTTATATATAAATATACATTTAATAAAAATAATACTTAGGCTTCATTTGGATTGATGGATTTGGAAGGATTTGGAAAGAAAAGAAAAGAAAGGATAGCAACTTTTGTATTTGGTTTGACATTAGGAAGAGAAAAGAAATGATTTGGAGTGATTTGGAGGGATAGCTTATCACTCCAAACCCCACCCTATCCCTCCCAAAGGGACGAGATTTGGAAGGAAAGGTTAACAAGTTAAGTTGTAGTTTTGTAATGCCAAAAATGCCCTCATCATTTTAAAGAAGAAAATTTATATGACATTTCAGTCCCATCTAGGCATTTGATGGTTCTTCAGTCTTCATCACTGCCCCATTCCACCAGCCACGCACAAGCATTTCTCTTCTTTAATGTTTTCTCCTCCAGCTCCGGCATTCTCCATTTTCGGCGTCACTCCAACACAATCCTCTCCCTACAAAGTGCAACCCTTTATCTCCAATTTTTTAGATTTGTTCATCTTATTTGATTCTTTATTTTCAAATATTAAATTTATAGTACATTTATTAAATTTACCGAATTTGTTTTGCTGTTTCATACCCATTTGTAGTTATTGGGATGTTTGAGCTTTCAGTTGGTGTACAAATGGGTGTGGATGATTGCAAGATTTATATATATGATGCTGGTGACTGTTAGTGACACTCTTTTTTCTATTTCTTGAATTATTTAATTAAGGGTCTTGAAGATCAATGCAAGATTTCTATATTAATAAAAAAAATAAAAAAACTGAGCAATACCCAAAGGAGATTTCTTATCTCTTGCTAGTGGGTGTCGAACTGATAGGTAAGAAAATTTTTGTGGAGATTGTTACTGCAAGGTTATAATAGGAAATTGATTAAAATAGTTTATTTTCTTTTCTTCCCTTCACCTCTTTCAAACAAGAATGCTATCATTTTCTTTCTTTTCCTTCGTAATTTATCCAAACATGAATAGTGGTCCTTGTTATCCTTTCTTTTATTTTCTTTTCTCTTATAACTAATGGTTTCTTTTCTTTTCTTTTTCCCCCGGTTTATCCAAACCAAACCTTAGGGTAAAAAAGAAGAAACATATATGACAATAAATACAAATACTATAGACATGAGCATCAATGACATTCACATCACTTTTGACAAGCTAGTCCTGAGATAAAAATAACTTAATTCAGAAATGACAAAGCTTCTGAATTAAAAAAATAATACAAAATAAAATAAAAAATAACCTTTCAGACATGATGAAGTAATACAAACATGAAGAAATGTATTTGGCAAAAAACTATCGACACCAACTCATGTATCAACAACGAATGGAAACATAATCTAAGATAGTTGGCATGTACATGATAATTGCACTCTTAACTGGAAATCTTAATGGAAATTTTAGATACCATATAGATAGATTTTCAGGAGACTTATCACCATAATCCTTATACTCTACATCAACATAAGAATCAGCTATGACAAACAGAACACCGGGCAAACTATAAAATTAGGAAAATGTTACCGACCATTAAAATTAAATCAATCATCTCACATAAATAATTACAACTAAGAAACCAACACAGGCTACACAGCTCACACACCTTCAAGCTTTTTCGCCGTCTCTTTATTAACCTCGCATCCAAACCCAAACCCAAAATTATTCCTCATCTTCTTTTTTGCTTCCTCTTCGCTGATATATCATAACAAATACATTTATTTTTACCATAATGATGAAACCCAAAACTAAAAATGAGTTGTAATAGACAACATAACAAAGCATATAATAAACTCTTTGGACTCTTCATTATAGAGATATCCATTAGTCCTAATACTAACCTACTAAAATGCATAAACCCTAAAATTTAGTAATCAGGCAAAGTTAAAAAGCTAGGGCTAGGGCTAGGGTTAGAATCTCTCTAACATACAATAAAACCATACAGAACACCAAAATCCTCTCCCAAATAATTTATCTCAGGGAGAGAGACACAAAAACCCCTCTTCAATCTCTATATCTCTCTATTTCTCTCTCCACAATCATTTCTCTCTATATATAAATATATATTCATATCTATACTATATATGTGTGAGAAAATTTACCTTCCGAGAACCTTAGCAAGTGTTTGGATGTAACAATCGATCATCTCCTGCTTGGTGACGTCTTCGTCACCAGGCTTCTTCATGATAATGTGCCAGTGTTCCTGATCCCAGCACAGAATTAGCGAATGAAAATCCATGGGAGGCCATTTGCTGAAGCATCGTATCTGGTTAAACCTAATTGCCGTTGGAGCGGCGAACCGGATGGAGTGAGAGACCAAGCTCGTGGATCCGATTGATCGAACAAAGCCATAAAATGAAAGTGCTTTGGCTATGGAAGAAGAGTATGAAAAGAGCCGTTTGGAGAAGCATAGATATGACGACGATGATCGCTCGGCCAAGATTGTTCCCCCAATTGTGGCCGCCATGTGAAATAAAGTGACTCGGTAAGTAGGCGTGTAAAATACCAGGTGTGTAGGTGTTTTAGGTTTACGTAAAATCGATGACGTGTATGTGGATGATTGGTTGGATTCTTAACGGAAAGTGATACAAATTTTAGAATAATAATTTTAAAATAGAAAGGGAAAATATATCCTTCTAGACCTGTAATTAGATTGAATTTTTGTAGAAAACTATGGTTTAGCTTATTTTGAGTATACTTTTGTTTTTAGAGTGGATTGAACATCTGTTTTTGCTTGTATATGTAAGCAATTCAATGATAATAAGATACATTCTTCCGATGCATAAACATATTTGTGTTTGAGATTAATTATTATATAAACACTCTTCAATCCTCTACCTTTATTTGTGAAATTAAATGATGGATTCAAACTATGTTTCACGTGTATATATACAAGGCTGGGACCGTTTCTTAAACCTTACCAAAAAGAGAAATGTTGGTTCCATCAACTAACAAACCCCTATATAAATCATAATTAAACTGTTGTTATACGATATAACATCGCATCTCATAAATATGGATAATTATAAAATTATTTAAATAAAAGTTAATTAATTATAATAAGACCATTTTTCTTACATTCTCTCACTTGGTACTTGGTCTTATAATCATAATTAATCTTTTATTGATTGATTTATTTATTTTTTATGAAAAATATTTTTTGAAATAATGTTGACATGCACACTTTAAATAAATTATCTATATTTAGAAAATCATTATACCAAATAACTTTCATGTAGTCTTTACAAGTATAGCAATATTGGATCAAGGATGTCATTATATTATTTAATAATATAGAATATCAATAGTCACAAACATTAATACACTCAACTTCAAGATTATACATAAATACCATATGTGCTAAATAATAAAATATTATGCCATGCTTCAGTCCTACTGCGTCTTAATAAGGACACACCATGTCTCATAAATATTATGTTATACATACATGCACCAATATGGAGAACTAGATAAATGATGATAGTATAATATAAGAAACTGTGATCACAAATACAAATGTGTCTACAATTGAGTCAAAAACAACCTCCCACTAACTAAGTAAATCAAAGCTATCAATAAGACCAATATGAGCAACATGCTCACTGTATAGCTTAGGCGGCAACCCCTTAGTCATGGGATCAGCAATCATTTATTGTATACTAATGTGCTCAATAGACACAAGCTAGTTCTGAATCCTCTCTTTTACAACAAGATATTTAATATCTATATGTCTAGATTTCCCTGAACTTTTGTTGTTCCATGAATATATAACTACAGCGGAATTGTCACATAAAATCATCAATGGTTTAGAAATAGAATCTACCACAATAAGTCTTGAGATGAAGTTCCGTAACCGTAATGCATGACAAGTGACCTCATAACATGCAATAAACTCTACTTCCATAGTGGATGAAGCTGTTAGTGTTTGTTTAATACTTTTCCATGAAATTGCTCCTCCAGCCATCATTAAGATAAATCCTGAAGTAGATTTCATGCTATCCTGACAACCAACAAAATCAGAGTATGAATAACCCACCACTTCAAGCCTGTCGGTCCTTCTATATATGAGCAAATGGTTCTTTGTCTTTTGCAGGTACCTCATTACTTTCTTTTTTTTTCATAATTGGATTTTGTATAAAAAAGAAAAAAGATATTTACATGCGCACAGAGGGCATACCCTCAGAGAAGAATTGAAAAAACAATTTTGAAATGAAAAATTCATTCAAAAAGTAAAACAACAAGCAACTATTTAAGAAGATCTTGAATAGTAACATTGTAGATATCAAGTACTTCAAATAAAATTTGTCTAGCAGCATCTTGTGGTTGTTTAGATAAATGACCATGCCAGGATCACTTTGGTATCTGCCTAGCATACCAATAACAAATGTTATGTCCGGCCGTATGCAAACCTGAGCATACATCAAACTCCCAACTGTAGATGCATAGGGAATGTTTTCCATTTGCTCCCACTCTAGGTCATTTCTCGGACATTGAAATTTACTAAATGTATCACCCTTTACTATAGGGGCAATTCCACCTTTACAGTGTTGCATATCAAATATTTTAAGAACCTTTTCTATATATGCGCTTTGTGACAATCCAAGAATCCCACGAGATCTATCTCGATGAATCACAATGCCAATGACAAATAAGGCTTTACCAAGATCTTTCATTTCAAAACTTTAAAATGAAAAATATTTAGTCTCGTGTAACAGACCAATGTTAGTACTAATAAGTAAGGTATCATCAACATACAACACTTGAAATATAAACTTATTCCTGCTAACTTTCATATAAATGCACTCATCAATAATATTTTCTTTAAGCCCATATGAAATAATTATCTCATCAAATTTTATATACCATTATCTCGATGCTTGTTTTAACCCATAAATAGATTTCCTTAAGTTACACAACATATGTTCTTTGCCCTCAATTTCATAACCCTCAGGTTATTCTATAAAAACTTCTTCGAGCAAGTCACCATTTAGGAATGCAGTTTTTACATTCATTTTATGTAACTCCAAATCAAAATGAGCTACTAATGCCATTATGATTCTAAAAGAGTCTTTCTTTGAAATAGGAGAAAAAGTTTCTTTATAGTTAATACCCTTTTATTGAATAAAACCCTTAGCAACAAGTCGGGTTTTATATCTTTCAACTTTACCTTTTGAGTATCTTTTAGTTTTAAATACCCATTTACAACCAATGGGTCTGACTCCCTCTGGTAAGTCAACTAGATCCCAAACTTGACTATTTTTCATAGAATCTAACTCATCTTTCATTGCATCTGACCATTGTTGAGCAAAAGTGTTATTTTTTGTAATACATCAATATTTTAATGGATTTATTAATTGAGATTAATTACTTTTATTTTATGTTAAAATGATTTGTTTGATTTAATTAGAATTAATTATTTTTATTTTATTTTTAAATGATTTGTTTTATCTAATTGAGTGCTTAGATTAATTGTCTTATTTTAATTAGATTATATTTCGCGATTAAATTTGTTGAATTGATATGGTGTTTTACTTTGTGGAATGCTATGATTGAACTGGTTATTTGATTTGTGTGTATTTATGCTTGTGTGAATTGTTTGTTAATTATTTGTAATTATTAGCTTTAATTTAATTATTTTAATTGTTAATTTTAATTGGATTGGGCTTAAGAGGAGTGGGACAAATGGATGTGATCTTGGCCTTGAAGGAAGGCTTGTTGGGTTAATTAATAATGACCCATAGTTATAAAGATATTTAAATAATTATCTTTGCATAATTATATATATATATATAATTATATGTATATAAATATAATTAATTAATAATTATTATAGAAGGATATATCTGTATATATTTATTGATATATATATGTGTGTGTGTGTGTGTGTGTGTGTGGATATGATTTAATTAATTAATGATTAATTATGAAAGGTAATCTACATATATATTATATAATATGTGTGTATATATTTTATACTATTTGATAATTATTATTTCTTTTATTTGGTAGTCCTATTAGGAGTAGGATTTGTATTTTAATTTGTATAAATTATACACATAAGGTTGAGGATTAAAAGGTTGGCTTTTTTCTTCTTCTTCTTCTTCTTTTTTTTTTTTTTTTTTTTTTTTTTTTTTTTTTTTTTTTTTTTTTTTTTTTTTTTTTACGTTAGAAAATAAGAGAGACAAAAAGAGAAGAAAAAAAAGGCTGACAAGGAGGATGCCGGATCTGAGAAAGAGGATATCGGAATTGGAAGAGACAATTAAAGCTTGAAGCGTCGGTTTCATTTTGAAACCTTCAGGCGAATTCTTCTCTAACTTTCCTCTTAGAACTCATAAGGATTTCATCTTGAGTATCAAGACTTTAGATTAAATTTATTAATTAAATAATGATTAGAACGGATTAATCAAGAGCATGAATTATTATATTTTATTATTTTTAAACTTTGGATTTCGAATTGTTAGACGTATATGTCATATTTATTTAAAATCAACGAATATGCATGATCCGTGACCAATAGGGTTAATTAGGGTTTATATAATTTTGGGGGATTTTTTGTAATTTTTTGGCAATTTTCTGTAATTTTCTGGGATTTTTTATATATATATATTTTTGGTGTTTTAGAATTATATATATATAATTATATATGTGTATAAATATATATATATATATATGTATATTGTTTATATATACGCCTGGAGCGTTTGACTAATCGGCGCACTCAAGGTGTTATGATTCGGTGTGGCGCGGCACATATTATTGTGGTGCGCGTGAATTTCAGATGGTTGGATGGTCTTGATAATCAAAGGAGGATTCAGTGTGGTGCGGTACATAGAAGGTTGGTGCGCACGCTTATATGTTAGTTTAATATTAAATAGATTGATCTGGTGTATGCAGTTCCATGGCAATTCGATGTACCACAGATCTGAGCCATTAATGTGGCTTGATAAAAGAGAGATTGATATGGTGCAACACAGGTGCATGGAGTTACGGAGAGATGATCTGGTAAGATGCGCACAGATGGACAGAGTACAACCAGCAAATGCCACTGCACTACGTTAGCCAGAGGAGTTATCAGGCACGTGTGCAGTGCGTAGGGGTGCGTGAAGACATGTGGCTACTTGTGGTGACACTTGGAGGAGCGTGCAAAAGGTTTAGAAGCGTATGGCAGTGCGTGGGAGCCCGTGCGGAGGAGTTTCGAGTCCTGAAAAGGTCTTGTGGGGTCCAGTGAATTTCCAGAATTTATTTTAAGCTTGTTAAGGTGAAAATTAACCATTAGATATTGTGTTCTTGGTGTTCTGAGAGCATTAGAGTGTTACTAAGATATTTATTGGCATTTAGTTGGCATAAATATAATTAATTAAATATTTTGTCATGGAATGAGGTGTATGTGTATATATATAGTTATATATGTGTATATATATGATTGATTTAATTTATAATTCGTATAGAAGGATGTGTATATATATATATATATATATATATATATATATATATATATA